ATACATACATATATATTTATATATATGGATAGGGCTAATTTTTACATATTTGTTTCACAATTGACAAAACCTTATGATTTTATATATCTTTGGTCAAAGTGATACTGTAGTCAATCTAAAATGAAGACCCCCACCCCAGAAGCCCTCTTCTATGAATAATCAGAAATGTGTAAATTATATTTACTCTGGCACCGTCGGAAACAATTAGGTTATCGAAAAGGAAGTTTGTAGCCCCAAGTGTAGAAACGGTGATTTGCTAACTCTGACTCTTGAAAAGTCGATTGATAAATCGTGACACTGGTCACGTACGATTAATTCATCGAGCCACCTAATAATTAATTTCTTATGTAGGACCTATGCATAAAATCAAGCTCCAAATGTAGGATGGTCAGATTTTAAAGTGGGCGTGAGTCGCACAACGACCTTTAGGAATCCTTAAAGATAACGATTACGAAATTCATTACATCAAATTTTCATAAACTTCCTCCCGAAGGTAATTTGTGTTGGAACATCGATGGGTTTCAGAGCTTGAAATCTGACCAATCGTTACTCACAAGTAGTACAAATATACACTTAATACTTATATATATATTTATATATATACATATATATATATACATATATATATACTATATATATATATGTAATGTGTGTAGTAAGACTATCACGAGTGACAGAAAACAAGGGTTGACGTATTTCTGGAACATAAATATATTTTATTTGAGCACATGTGCTATATAAAATATAATTATGTTCCAGAAAAAACCAAAAGTGTTTTTAATTGGAGGGAGATATGTATTTGTTTTATTTGACTTTATATTTATCAGCATATTACAGTCTATTTTTGCTGTTGTAGTATGCAAGACCGCACCACAGACTGTGACCGCAACACAAATGTGTGTAGTATTACCTAAATAAATATATAAAATATGCAGAAAGTTTCTTGACCTGGTATTTAATACCCATTAACCTACACTTAGCACTCCGTATACAATATGAGTATTATATCAGGTCACGTTCCAAACTTGGTCAGAATAAATACATACGGAAGAAGATCAAATGAACTCGCTTCGTAGGTTCATATGAAACATCTTGATAAAGAAATTCACGATACATTCTGAATATAAACCTAGCTAATAATAATATGCAGTGCAATCTACGCTTCGGGTAGCAGGCCCGTAGGAAGCAGTTCATTATTAGTCAGGCCAAAGGGACGAAGCTCTCCCACACCCTTTGACCCTTAGAGGGATATCGGGAGGGATATTTACCAGTGGCGGCGTCAGACTCACCGATGCGGATCCTGAGTTCGTCCACAAGGGATGCACACCCACTCAGCCCCACCGGTGTACGGTAACTCAGATTAGTAGTCCGTTATGCACCAAATTATGCAATTCGTATTGTATTTGGTTCATAAGTTTTTTTTTAATGACCTTTTATAATTAAACTAAACAAATAAACAAGTCAAGGACATTTTTTTATTGTAACTTTTATAATTATACAATTTAGTAATTCGAATAATTTGTTAGAATTTAGTTTTTTAGAATTTAGTTGGATATTTGAAATGACAAGGCCTGCCACACAAGAACGAAAAAAGAGTAACTCCATTCGACCAAAGGAAAAAAAAAACAAACAATATCTTAAATTTTTATGTAGACATATAAAACCTGATTTTTATTTCTTATGAATTTAGGTGGATATTGGCCCTGCTAAACAAGAAACACTTGCCACAGAACAACTTAATGAAGAAGGTTCCACAGCGTCCAAACCATCCCCAAATAGCATTACATATGGCATTGAGGACAAACCTCCGCTCCCTCTAACGTTCTTTCTCGCCTTTCAGGTAAGACTCGAGCAATAGCCTATGCCTATTATTCACGCTATTTATGGTCTATATCATATTATTTACTAACGATTCACACAAACCCCATACTTTGTTTACATTATTCCCCATCATTTTTTCAGCATTTTCTTACCATGTTTGGTTCGACATTGGCCGTTCCATTGGTTCTCTTTTCTGCATTTTGTCTGGAGCGTGACTTAGTAGCCCAGAGCGAGGTCATCGGGACAACATTCTTTGTATCAGGTGTAGCGACACTTATCCAAACCACAATTGGCATCAGGTACGTAGCCACCCATTTTTTTTCCTGTCAGACGATTGATAAATGTTTTCAAAAGAAATTATATGTTTATCGAGGTTGAAGAGACCGTTCTTTTTGTATTTATTTATTTGAAATAATATTTATAATCAGGCAGGCTCTGTGTGTTCTAATTCTTTTCCTCTTCTGAGAACCAGATAGTGTATGCAGCATTATGTTAAAGTCCCGGATTTAGCATATAGTCTGAACGCCAACGGAGTCGTTGCGTGTACGGCTGTCGGAATCGTAATTAATGCTCATTTGCATAAATAATATAAAACTTTGAGCGAGTAAACTAATTATGCTATTGCCAACCATAAAATAATAGCTTAAATAAATACATAAAAGTTACTATACCGTATATAATATACCCACATCGACTGTCGATGGGAATTAAACCCATGTCCGCAAAGCATATTTTCTCAGAAAGATATTGCTATTATGTGTATTCAAATTAAATGTGATAATTCGCTATATAGTTTATTATACAGCTTATATCCTTATTTTTTTTAATAAGTAGGGGAAAAGGTTTTACACTATAGCAAGCTACTTCCCCCTTCGAGGGGCCCCGGGATGACCCCTGGTGGTCCTTTCCACCAGAGAATCCCCTCCGTCGGGTAAACTATGGCGCCACTCAATTAGAAGATCGTGATGTGGACTGTTTAGTCGTGTCGGAGTAACACAATTCGAGTGCCTACACTCAAGGGTCTATCCCCAGAACATTGGTGGGGTGGGGAACAAGCATCTCTTAACCAACAGTTCACCTTCCTAAGGGATTACATTTTCTTCGTTGGTAAATTATTATTTCAGTGACTCATACCATAATTTTCAGCGTTCATAGGCCTATAATTTCGAGTAGGCATACACGAGTACAAATATCACGAAAACACAATTTAAGTGTACGAGTTCTCATCAACCAGTTCGTAAATAATACTGAAGTGAATATCGTTGACATAGGTGAAGAGTTGAGTAGTTTAGGCCTATAATGTTAAGCCTTCTCATTTAGAAATAATATAGGCCTATAGTTGAGGGCATTGTTGATCATTCAATGTATTCCGCCACCATGAGTGTGTTGAAACTCTTAAGCATAAAAGCGAGGCAGTTTATAAATCCCCTCTTCCATCCAGTGGTAGCCTGCCTACACAAATTATTATCATGTTTATGTATACACTGTATACTGAATATATTTAAAACTGTTATATCTCTATAGTAGAAGTATTAAGGTACCAAGTATTTTTACCAACTTTCAATATTGGTTTATTATGTTATACGCTTGTATTATATTATATTAATATACTATGTTATATGTTATACTTTATAATGATAAGATGATACTTTATACTTTAGAACAATGCATCACGTTTTAAAGCATTTCGCTTACTGTGGTGACCATATTATATTAATATACTATATTATATGCTATACTTTATATTACTCAATTAGAACAAGGCATCACGTTTAAAGCATTTAGCTTATTGTTGTTACCTATTCTATTTCCATACCTTAAAATTCCTTACATTATAGAATTCTTGTGATGTTGTTCTTGCTTTTGAAGAAATACCGTAGTTTTGCATAAGTTTAAACAGGCCCGTAGCGTGACTTAAATTGTGGTAAGGTTCGTTTCAGTGGAAAGTGGACCCTTTGGCTTGTATGATCTTCGATACTCTGGAGAACATTGTAAATATATCTACGAATATCAATTTTTCGTTTTTAACTGCGGACCTTCCCAGTTTTTTGGGCGGTTCGTCGTAACCCCCTTAAACCCCCACCCCCACGCTACGGGCCTGTTAAAGACTAGCTGTTGGTTGAGAATGAAATAAAATTAATAATAATACCATAGCAAATAATAATATATGAAAATATCTCCATAGATTACCTATTGTACAAGGTTGTACATTTGCTTTCTTAGCACCAACATTTTCTATCATGAGCCTAAGGGATACATGCGAAGATATTTATGATGGATACGGTAAGCAAAACACAACGTATGATGAAAACAGTAGACCCCTAATAATCATTCGACCCCTCGCTTCATCATACATGTCCGTGACACAACATGAAAATGAACAAGTAGACATACCGTATGTATTCGAATGAACGCCCCGGGCGTATATTTTTGAGAAGGTGTTTGAAGGAGGCTTTTATTGACGGAGAACATTAATAGAATATGCTACAGTCATTTAAAAATTCCATCCGCCATATTTCGAGCACCATTCAGAAAACTACGAGGAAAAATAAAATCCTCGGGCTTTTTCGAGGGAGGCGTTTATTCCAACTCTAGAAGTGCATCGTTTATTCAGGGGGGCGTTTATTCAAAGAGGGGCGTTTATTCGAATAAATAAGTTAATATCAAGTGTCTACGAACTTGAATCTACCTTATTTTAATTTTTGTTTTGTATTATTCAGTATTTAAATCCATCTATTCAATCATTGTACTTGATTTAGGTGATAACAAATTTGTAAGAAAGGCATTCTAGTGCTATCGGGTACGGGTACCTGTATGTATGTGCTTAAACATGTAGATTACTTTAATTGAAATAGTAGCCCCGTTGTTTTATAAATGCCTCTGAGATACATTTGATTATTGATGTTAGTGTTAACGTATTAATACGGGTATACCTCTTGCTTGTTTTAGTAAATCAAACTGAAGATTATATTCGAGAACAATCAACAGCAGAATGGCAAAGTAGAATTCAAGAGGTAGGCATTCTTTTACTGGATAGGAAATGGTAATATTGATAACTGTAAGTTCAAGCAATTATGATAAAAATCCATATGCCTATATGGAATGGATATGACGTCACCATGCCCATATATGGAAAATACTCCGAAATTTGTCACATAAAACCTAATTGCGTGGACAGAGCTTTAATTGTTATCACTGCTGGCTTGTTCATAAAATGTTTTGCACACTTTGGCGACTTTATTACGTGAACTAGGTTATCGTACATGATCCATGGTTAGGTTAGGCCTACCATAAAACGAAGACGATTTATTACACCTGCTGATATACACACTTCTTGTTAATCAACATGGGAAAACACTTGACAACAACTGCATTACTGTTTATTATGGCAATTGTGCCTAATAAAATATGTCGCACCTAAAAACCACGCCTAGTAGTTACGAGTCACCTCAAATCACCTTACTTTTCAAGCTAGCTCCACACACCTAATAATTGAGCCCACCTTGCGCTCCCCATCAGCCCCAACACCCCCATTTCAAGGCTCTTAGATACGCCACAGGAATTTATATGCTTTTGTGGATCATTGCCAAAAGATAAAGGTCAGGTAATATAAACCAATTTTGTCATCCACATGGTAAATATGCACCATCTGTGGACAACCTTACTAAAGCGATATGTCGATGAAAGTGAAACCAAAATTCTAACTACCATTCAGGGCAAAGCAGTGATACGGTATATACCAAACCATGTCGAACCATCTGAAGGTCTATTCCTGGCACCAAAACAATGGACACTTTAGTCGTCGTCGTCGTCATCATCATCATCATCATCATCAGCATCATCATCATCGTCATCATCATCATCATCATTATCATCATATAAATTGGAACGAGAAAAGAAAGTTTTGGAAAACTTAACGAACTATTGCAACATTTGCACGCTCTTACGTTTCTAGTAGAGTTTTGTAGTAATTGTAAATTATCGAAAATAATTGTCCTTGATAGTCCTACATAGGCCTAACTTATTTAATGTTGATAACTAATGTTGATCCTTTTTCTTCATTTGTTTACGGTAACAGTATGTCTACACATGTTTGTTATAAATTAGTTTGATTTGTGTGTCTACTGCTCTCGGGTTTGGGGGGGGGGGTTGCTGTAGAAACTTAGCTATCGTCTTACTTTAAGTTGTGAAAGTAAATCTGGTTGGAGAAATGATGGGATGCATCATAGGCTAAGCAAGCCTACGAAATATGATGTCATGACTAGATAAGATAGCCCAGTCCGAAATGTAGCAATCCTATCAGAGGTTGCATTTTTTTTACTATATTAAAAAAAAATTGGATATGATGTAGAGTAGACATTGATAAATCAAAAAAGTATGTGCAACTTTTTTTTATTCGTAAGGGGGTTTGCCAGCAGTTTCAAAATGGCCGCCATTTTTTCTTAAAATTGTCACTAATATTGTAAGTTTATGTTATTAAAATGCAGTATTCAATTGGAAATCCACTCATAAAAAGACAGTTACAGTTAAATACATATTGTACACATTTTTGAGCTATTACAATTTTGAAATAGCTGCCAATTTCCATTATTTTAGCCTATTAGCATACATATTAATATATTGATAACCGATCTGTAACTATAAAACAAAAACATGTGATAGAGCTAGTTATATGCAATTGCAATATGCTGTTAATGGTTATTACCATAATATATATGTGATATAT